AGGGGATGTGCCACATTTCTGAAATTAGGTGACACCTCTCACGTAAATCGGCAGGGTCAGGGTCCAAAAACATATGAGGTTTGCCACATGTATAAAATTCGGCGGCATCCCTCACGCAGATCGGCAGGGTCAGGGTCCAAAAACATAAGGGATTTGCCACATTTCTGGAATTCGCTGGCACCCCTCACGCAGATCCGTCGGGCCAGGGTCCGAAACACACAAGGGAGTTGCCACATTCTTGAAATTCGGCGGCACTCCTCACGCAGATCCGTAGGGTCAGGGTCGGAAAACAGACATATCCCTACACGGCTTCGCGGCGGCGCCCAGACCTTCTGATTCAGCGCTTGCCTCTCCCCTTCTCCGAGACAGGGGGCCGGCGGCATGGGGCGAAGCCCTTCCGGTGAATCATGGCCGGCCGCACGTGCGCGGCCCAAGGGGATTCCAGGGACGTCATGAAAAAGGAAGAGAGGCGCCATGAAACCTGGGGAAAATCATGGCCCACGCCATGATGTCCACCCCGCCCCAGGCCCTAGCCATCACCCCCTTCTTGGCCGCCCCCGATCCTCCCCCGGATCGGAACTTCATCCCGAGCAGGTTTCTGCTGGTCCTGGGGCCCGGTGAAGAAGGCCCCCCGGAGGCCGAAACTTGAAAAAATCCTCCCGTCGTGTTTTTTTCGCTGCGCCAGGGGGTCCCTGGAGGTCCCTACCCTTTCCCCAGGGCCCGTTTCGCATTCTGAGTCGTTGTGTCTCAGACCCGAGGACTGGCGAGGGCCGCCAGAGGCCGAAATTCAGGTAAAACCCTTCGTCTCGGATCTTTCAATAGGGAGCCCACAAAGGACGTACGCCCCCAGCTATGTACATGAACACGGCCCCTCGATTCGCGAGACCGGCCGCGTTATACGAACATTTGTGAAATGCGTGCTCTCGAAAACAGCATGGATTCATGTACATGTACGTCCTTCTTTCGCTCCTGATTCAAACACGTTGGAAACCTGGAAGGCAATCGCTCCGACGTCCATTCTCCGTGCATTGCTTGGTTTCGTGCGACTCTTGCCTTGCTCAAGATGCTCCAAGATGGATCAGTTTTTCTGGCGCTGGCCACGCCGAGAAACACTCACACGTCCGAGCGATGCCAAGCAGGGGTGCTTCGCCGACCCAGCAAGCAGGGTGTTTCGCCGACGCACGAGCAGGGTGGTTCGCCGACCCCTCCTTCCCCCTGTCTCGAAGCCCCCCCCCGCCTGTGGCGATGCCAAGCAAGGGGAGGAGGGAGGCCCCCTCCTTCCCCCTGTCTCAAAGCCCCACCCGCCTGTGGCGATGCCAAGCAAGGGGAGGAGGGAGGACCACCCCTCCTTCCCCCTGTCCCACAGAGCCCCCCCCGCCTGTGGCGGCAGCGGCACCAGGCCGGCGGCCTGCGCCACGCTCCGAAGCGCTGGCGCGCCGGATGTCGGCCTGCTCTGCACACTTCTCCCCGGAGGGGAAGGCGAAAAAGGAGGAGGAGGAGGAGGCGGGACGACGGGGCCCTTTTCCTCCTCCTCCTTCTCTCCCGCCTCCTCCTCCTGTCCTCCTCATCCGCCTCCTCCTCCTGTCCTCCCTCTCCGTCCTCCTCCTCCTCCTCCTCCTCCTTTTCCTTTTCCTTTTCCTCCTCCTCCTCCTCCTCCTCCTCCTCCCATGAGTTCCTATTGGCTCTGTGGCTGTCCGTCACCGCTGAGCGATAAGGCAACCCCCAAAAAACAGTTCAGAGGGCAAGGACGGTTGAAAGGGGTTCAGGCGGTGGCGGACGTCCAACCCGTATGAACAGACCATTTCAGCGGGGTTGACCGCCCAAAGCTCGCTTCCAAGCTGGGGCCAATCCCGTTTCTGAGCAGTCTCTGACTGTAAGCTGCAGCGCGGTTGCGAGGACCTCTATCACACCGCGCCCCCAGGAGCCGAGACCGAACGGACCCGAAAGCGCCGCAACACGAGCACCAGGCCACCCGACCCCCACCCAGCCAAAGCATGTGGCTCCGATGCGCTGTCCTCGCCACCCTCGGCGGGCCGCCGCAAGGCATGAAAGCAGTGTGCGTCCTGGATCGGCCTCTCTCGCCGCAGGTCGCACACCTGTACTGCTTGCCGGCCTTCTCAATTAAGTGCCCGTTGGGCTCGGGAGTTAATTGCAAAACCTGGGGCTTGGGCCTTCGAGGCCTCCGATACCGCGTTACATGTGGAACCCCCTATGGCAGACAGGTCACTCATGACCTCAGCTACTATCCAGGCCGATTGCTTAACAAGACTAGCGCTGTGTTTAAGCTCGGCTTTAATTAGAGGGTTGGTGGGATGAGCCTGGGCCCCAAGCTTGGCAAGCTCGCCAGGCCGCTCGTTGCCCCGCCACGCCCACTCGCTAACCCCCTGCCTACGGGCCTCACCGAGGGAGAGGTGAGACCTAATCCTACTCACTGAAATCAGATATCATCCGATGGCCTCCGACAAGTCGAACACATCTTTCAAACTCTCTGAATGCGCGATGTCCTCGAAGTTCTGCCCTGGACCGAACCGCCAAACATCTCCCACCATCTTGCAGTCAGTGATGACCTCGACCCCCTGTGGGCCCGCCAACCTCAACGCCATCTTGAAGGCGCGCACCTCCCCGCCCCCGCGAGCTGGACCACGTGGGGCAAGGGGCCGCGCGCCGCGCCGACAACGAGCCCGCTCTTCGTGACTGAGGCGACCGCCCGCCCCGCTCTGGCAAGAGAGGGGTGATCTTGATCATATCCTGACCCGTCGAGGCACGCGCGTTTGTCGAGCACGCGGGGATGGCGCGCCACCGAAACCCCGCCTGCTGGCATGGCGCGGGCCACGACCACGACGCGCTCGGGAGATGCGCCCTCGCGCGGAGCGCCTCCGTGCCCGGGGCAACCGGCGCGTCCAGGAGCTCCTGAACATCAAGATCGCGAACTCGTGGCCGATGGGCGGGGCAGCGGGACCTATGCAGTGCCGTGCCGACGTCGACTAGGCAAAGCAAGCACCTGTCTTCCACCGCCCTCCTGTCCTGGCAGAGCCGCTCCTGGGTTGGGCACCTCTCTGCGACCGCGCCCGCGAGCTCCGCCACCGCCTGCCACCTGCCCTGAGCCCGCAGATCCCTGAGCACCTCGATCACAGGTTCGAGCAGCGGCCCATCGTGGAGGCCCTCGACGCGACCGTCCCCCAGGCACATGATCAGGTGCCCCCGAACGACCCTCTCCAGAATCATTTTTAACGATCGGCCTCCCAGATAGGTGATGTCGATCTCCAACCCCGACCTGGTAGCGAACATGTTCCAAGCCTTCGGTTCCCAGTCTACCCGTCTAAGGGTCAAGACGACCACTCCAGCAGGACCTCGCAGACGGCTCCAGTCGAAGTCCCTCTGATAAGCTGGGAACTCTGCTGCGTCACCTTGGGCTCCACCCACTTGTTCCTCGCCGCCTGGCCCCACGTGAGGAGCAGAAGCATGTTCGAGTCGAATGAGGGGCCCGCCTTGGGCTCCACGCTGAAGGGGAACTCCAGGGTCCTGCTCCTGCCCTCGGGGGCCCCGAACGCAGCCGCTCCCGCTACGCTCCTGATATGTTGAGTTTCGATGTAGCCATGCCGTGACCCGGACCCCACAGGTAGCTGAAGCCGCACCCCCCCCCCAGAGCGAGCGACCCTCATCATCCCCTTGCTAAAGCTCTTCAAGCCACGGATCCTACCACAGCGCCCCTGTAGGCGCCTCAACCGAGCCTGCAGCACCTTGGATTCTCGGCTTCTCTGGCCGCCAAGGTTCGATCGCAACCCAAGTTTCGGCCGCAAAGAGCCCCCTCGAAGCTCCACTTTCTGAGCTTACTGACGATCACCTGCCTCGCGCTGGCACGCGTGCTCAGCGCCGGGCCCTTGGACTGCGCTAGCACAAGCAACAACCTCTCCAGCAGTGTGCACAGGTCAGCACGCGGCAGCCTGACCTCGACCTGCGACAAGTGACCTCACGACTGGAGGGCAATGTCATCGACGACGTTGCAGATTCCAACGCGGACAAAGTGCTCGCGCGTGATGTCGAGAGGGTCTAGCAACAGACAACTGGGCAAACTCGTAGCCTCCCCGCATCCCGCTAAGATAACCTGGTCCACCGCCGCCACCTGCGCGCGCGCGCCTGCATTGCCGATGATCCGCTTGCCGCGGTACAGAGACAGCTGCAGACGTAACCGAGTCAAGTTATATCGATGCTTAACTGCGGCTCGTGCGAGAAGGCCGCGGTTCACCTTCCCCCAGGATTTCGTTAAATCCACGAGGCGCTCTGAAAAAACAGCCCCCCGCGCCCAGATGCCGTTCGACCACCGAGCTCTGCTCCCGGACCGCTCCCTCGCAACTCTTGCCCGAAATCCCGCGCCTGCAAGGCCTGCTCACGGAGGCCTCCCAAGCGCGGATCTCAAGCCGAACCAGCTTCGAGGGAACTCTGACGGGGGTTGGGAGCACGCCTCTTGGTCGAAAGCCTCCCTCTGGCTTACCTGGCATCGCGAGGGCCGCGGTCAGCATCGAGACTGGGTAAATCCCAATACACTTCATCCAGCACCAGAGCTCCCCTAAGACCTCGAGGATCCTGTCGGTGGCCTTGTCGAGGTCACTGGGCCTGAGCGAGTCTATGCCGCGCGCTGTGTAGATTTTGAACTTCCCAGCTGCCACTCTGATCTGCTCTGGGGGCTTCTGGGCCTCGGGCCTGGAGTCCTGCTCCTGCGCCTGCTTATCAATCTCGCTAGTGAGGTGCTCTATCGGATCGGGAAACCTCCGAGCAGCCTCTGGAAGGGTCCAGTGGCTTGTCCAATAGCTGTGCAAGTCGCCCACCTGCTCCTGCGGGCCCACGGGCACTCTGGCATCAGACTTCTTGCTGCCCGCGGGAACCTCGGGCGCCCAACCTAGCGGAACCTGACTGTACTTGTGGGCCTGGCCCCCTCCGTTTGCCGCCGCCTGCTTGACTCGCTCACGCCGCTGCTTGGGGCGCTCGGGGCCGAACGCTCTCTCAAGCGCATCTGAAACGCGACCAGCGTCATCGCGCCAGCGCCGAAGCTGCTCGACACCTGCTTGCATCACCTCGTCAAAGGAAGGCCCCCAGCCTTCCCAATCATGCTGCCCTCGAAGCTGACGAGGCCCACGTCGAATCTGCCCCGGGACCCCCATGGTATTAGACTTCCCCCACTCCGAAGTGCTGGCCCTGAGGTAAAAGAGTTCCTGGAACCAGATCGCGGCCCTTCTCCACCCCCTGCTCCGCGGGCGGCCAACGGGGCAATTGCCTCCTGAGGTCCTCCAGGCGGGTGCCTGCACAAGCACGGGCTCCTTGGACCTTCCGAAATACTTCTTCTGTTCTGAAGCCTCGCGGCACTCGCCAAGCCCCGCCTCGGGGGCCCCAGCGAACTGCCGATAGCAACTATCCAGAGCATCCTTACCACCTCGCTGCCGCGCCTGGTCGAGCAGCTACCGGCAATCTCTGGGTTCAGACCTGGGCCCAATTACAACCTCATTGGCAAAGGCGGCAGGCTTCTTCAGCACCCTCACGAGGTGCTCCATCGGCTTGCCGTTTAAAGCTGCACAATGACTGGCCAGTGCGGCTTGGTCAAAGCCTCCCTATTGACGTGGCAAGAGTGAACGTTCGCTGCCAAGCCTGCCGGCATCGCACAGAAATCAATGGACTTCCACACCATGGCCGTGGACTTACAGGTGTAGGTGGTGGGGTGGGCGACCTGGCCCCCGAGTTTTCCAGCCCGCCCCATGTCCCTGAACCGATCGGGCGACGCATTCCAGTCCCCGCCCAGGATGAAGGGGGGCCCCCAACTATGAAGACATTCTCCTAGCCGGCTGAGTATTTAACTTCCCTCTGGTCCTAGCGGGCCGACGTCGGGGAGGTAGGCTGAACCTAAGATGAACCCGCCTGGGACAAAGGTGTTGGCTCACCGCGGTGACTGGCGATGAGGAGCGGGCAAGTCGCGCGCAGCTGCCGGCGGCGCCCCCGCGCCGATGAACTTTTGGCACGCAACTGCAACTCCCGAAGACAGGCCGCCTGCGTCGGTGACTATGGATGGGGGCAAGCTGACGTTCCAGCCCAGCCCCCGAAGTGTTTGCTCACGCTCTTGCTGCTCGCTAGGCTCCAGTGATCTCCTGCAGCACAGCTGCGCTAGACTGGAATTCCCCATCGAGATACTTTTTCGCCGACTTCCAGCAAGTCGTGCTGCATGTTTCCATCGAGAAACAACTCTCCCGCTGGTCAGCCTGGGAAACTGATTCTGCCTGCTGGCGCGCAAGATTCTTGGACTGAGTCTTACTCAGACTGAAATGCGGTGGCAGCCGAGGCCCCCGGGCTGGACAGACAGGCCCCCGCTTGGGAAAGTGGGGGGAGGGGGGGCGACAAAGACGCGGCAGCGGCGTGGGCAGGGGCGGAGGGAAAAAGAAGCGACCGGGTGGTGTGCCAAAAG